CGTGGTGGCATATGTCTGTAGTTTCAGCTACTTGGAAGGCTGAGGCAGAAGGATGGATTGCCTGAACCCAGCAGGTTGAGGCTGCTGCAGCTGTGAGTGTGCTGCTGTGCTCCAGCCTAGGTGACAGAGTGACACTCTGACTCAAAAAATAAATAATAATAAAATAAAATAAGTCTAAGAATAAGTCTGCTAGGCTCATGTGCCTGGGATGTTTGTATAAAGTAATCTCCATAACATTAATTTCTGATCAGAAGATTTGGGAGGAGTCAATAGGCCTTCTCTGAGGCCTCATCTTAAATAAAGCCAAAGAAAAATCTCTGTTTTTCAGAACTAGAGTGATTTCTGTAATTTAGGTGCCTCTTTTTTTTCTATGCTGTTTCTGAGTTGTTTTCTGTGCAAATCCCTTGTGTTTTCTCTTAATTCTTCCTTTGTTACAGTATTTCTGTTGCTCTAAGACATGAATTTGTGCTTAATGTTGTTGACATGAAAGGGTATGACTCCTCTCTGAGTTAGGATTGTAGTTTTGCTGTGGTGTGACTATTTGTTTTCCTCCAAACTTAGTGTGTTAATTAGTGTGTTGAAATCTAATCTCAAACGTGACAATATTAAGAGGTGGGCCTCTGGGAGGCTCTGCCCTCAGAAATGGGATTAATGCCTTTATCCAGAGACTCGAGGGAGCCCTTGTGCCCCTTTGTCATGTGAGGACACATAGAAGGCACCATCTGTGAAGAATGGTCCTCACCAGATACCATGTGTGCTGGTGCCTTGATCTTAAACCTCCTAGCCTCCAGAACTGTGAATAAAAATTTTCAGTTGTTTCTAAGTTACCCAGTCCACGACATTTTGTTATAGTAGCCTAAATGGACTAAAAATTAGGTTTGTTGTTGTTACTCATTTGCCTTTTTTTTAAAGCTGGCAAGTTGTTGTCTTTCTCACAGCACATTGATATCCTGTTTCTTTGGTGTAACATTAGAAGAGATATTTGAACCTCTTGTTTGAAAAGTTGCTTCTTCTGTATTAAGACCCTCTACTTTTAAGTGTTGGCATATTTAATTTTACAGATGTATGTCTTCTTCCTTCTTTTCTTCCCTCTTTTGCATCAGGATCTCACTCTGTTGCCCATGCTGGAGTACAGTGGCATGATCATGATCATGGGTCACCACAACCTCGACCTCCTGGGCTCAGGCAGTCCTCTCACCTCATTCTCCCAAAGTGCTGGGATTATAGGTGTGAGCCACTGCGCTTGGACTTTGTTCATTTTTAAATTAGATCATCTCTTTATTATTTATTTGTAGGGATTCTTTATATAGTCTACATACAATTCCCTTATGATTTGCCTCCCAAAGTGCTGGGATTACAGGCATGAGCCTGCAAATATTTTCTCCCATTCTGTGTTGTCTTCACCTACTTGATAGTAACCAGTAAAGTACAAAATGTTTTTAATTTTGATGAATTATCATTTATCTATTTTTTTCTTTTATCGCTTGTGATTTTGAGCATGTTTAGGAAGGCTTTACCTAATTCAAAGTCATGGAAATTTACTCCCATATTTTCTTCTGTGTTATGCTTGCTCTTGAACTTAATCTAAATGACTCGTATAGCATGTACTGTTTTGCACTGGCATCTTCATTTAATGTAACACCTTTCAGATTCATCCATGTTGATGCATATATCAGCAGATGCTGAGTAGTATTTCAATGAATGACCATACCACCATTTGATCATTTATTTTTCTGAACATGTGGGTTATTTCTGGTTTTAGCTTCTATGAACTTTCAGCTGCAAGTCTTTTCTGGATATGTTTTCATTTATTTGCTGTGCCTTATAGAAATGCATTTTTCCAGCTGGGCTCGGTGGCTCAGCCTGTAATCTCACGCTTTGGGAGGGTGAGGTGAGTGGATTGCCTGAACCCGCGGGTTCGAGACACGCCTGGGCAACTTGGCGAGACCTCATCTCTACAATAAATCAAAAAAAAATTAGCCGGGCGTGGTAGCACACGCCTGTAGTTCCAGCTACTTGGAAGGCTGAGGCGGAAGGATCACCGGAGCCCAGCATGTCGAGGCTGTGGTGGCCGGGAGCGGCCACTGTGCTCCAGTCTGGGTGAGACTCCAACTCAAAAAAAAAAATGCATTTTTCCATTCAGAGGAATTGTGAAATAGTGCTTGAAAGTGGCTAAACTACTTTATACTTCTGTTATTGATAGGAATTGCAATTGCTCACATTCTGGCGAACATTTGGTATGGTCAGTCTTTAGAATTGTAGCCATTCTAATGTGTATGTAGTTTGGTTTTAACGTGGATTTCCTTCATGGCTGAAGATGTTGAACATTTTTCAAGTACTTACTGGTCATGTGACTATCTTGTTTTGGAAACTGTCAGTTTAAGTCTCTTAACGCTTTTTTTTTTGAGTCAGAGTCTCACTTGGTTGCCCAGGCTGGAGTGTAATGGCAAGTTTACAAACACCACTGGTGGGCTCAGGAGATCTTCCACCTCAGCCTTCCAAGTAGCTGGGACCTTAGGCATGTGTCACCAGATCTTGCCAAGTTGCCCAGGCTGGTCTGGAACCCCTGGGCTCAGGCAATCCTCTTGCCTCTGCCTCCCAAAGTGCTGGGATTATAGGCATAAGCCACTGTGCTCGGCTTTCTTACTCATTTTTAAAAGTGTAGGGCTGGCTCCCTAATTATTGATTTTTAAGTTTTTCATAGGCCAGAGGTTGTGGCTCATGCCTGTAATCTCAGCACTGAAGGAAATTGAGGGTGGAGGATCACATTAGACCGGGAGTTTGAGACCAGTCTGGGTAACATAGGGAGACGCTGTCTCTACATAAAATGAAAAAAAAAAATTAGCTCGGTGTGGTGGCATGTGCCTGTAGTCCCAAGTTCTTGAAAACTGAGGTGGGACTGTTTGAGCCCGGGAGTTTGAGACTGCAGTGAGTTCTGACTGTACCTCTGCACTTCAGCATGAGACAAAATGATAAAAAAAAAAAAAAAATTAAGATAAGTAGGATATATATCTGGCTCTGAAAGGATAGTTCTGTAATCTGCTAAATAGGATTTGGCCCATATGTTTCTTTTCTTTCTCAGGTTTTTTTTTTTTTGAATCGGAGTCTCACTCTGTCACCCAGGTTGCCTTGACCTGCTGGGCTCAGGTGATCCTTCCGCCTCAACCTTCCAAGTAGCTGGAACCACAGGCACCCACCACAACACCTGGCTAATTGATTTATCATAGAGAGGAGGTCTTTCCAAGTCGCCCAGGCTGGTCTTGAACCCCTGAGCTCAGGCAGTCCTCTCACCTCGGCCTCCCAAAGTGCTGGGATTACAGGCTTGAGTTACCACGCCTGGCCTCCTTTCTCAGTTTTTATATTTTATACATTAGTATTGTGAGCATTTTTTGTACCCTAAGCAGTTGACTTTTTCTGAATAAATTACTGAAAGTGAGTAGGAACTGTATTAAATAGAACACAAATGTATTACTTAGGACCTAGTTTACATTTTTACAGTGATAGAGCCACATTTCCCAACCTTCCTTTATAGACTGTGCATATGTGAAAGAAATAAAGGGCTTCATGTTGTACTGAGTCATTGGTTGGATCTTTGAAATTATCTTTTTTTTTGCTTTTCAACATTCTGATTATCACTTTTTTGCCATGGTTAACTCTTCTTTTTTTAAAATTTTAAACATACAGGGTACAATTCAGGTTTAGGTAGATAAGTGGTCATCGTGCAGGTAAAGTTTAGGCCTCCCTTTGGTCCCCACTTTGCCTGGTTTGGGATCAGGTACACTTATTGATGTTATGTGCCCCTTGCCCCCCGCGGTGTTCCTCATCTGCTAATCCCTTTCATGTAGTATTATGATAAATGTTCAGGGTCCACTAAATGAGTGAGAGCATGTGGTACTCAGTTCTTTGTTTCTGTGATAGATCATGGAGTACTGTAGACTCCAAATCCATCCAAGTTGCTGCAAAGTCCATAGTGAAATTATCTTCACCCATCTTTCGGCAGATAGAAAGAGGCCTCACAGGGTCACAAACTCAAAAGTCAACAAGGCTTTTAAGAGAGAAGAGGCTCCAGTTTAACAATGTAAGGCCGATGATAAACAGCAACTGTGAGTTGACCTGAGTTTTAGGGACAGTAGGGATTGCAGAGTGAGTGGATCAAAGTCCTTCCTCATCGAAAGAAAGAGGTTTCTCCTCGGCTACACCTTGTTCTTACTGCGGAGTCCGAGCCTGGTTTTGCCCTATCTTTTTCTTTCTCAAGAGAATCTAGAATTATATATTATAGAATATTTTTATTGCTTTGCCTTACTTTTAAAGCCCTAGATACATTGTAAACTGGATAGGATTGTTATTTCATAGAATTTGTTGTACCTCTTCTAAGTGGTGAGTTCTTTTTCTCTGAAGGCTGCCCAAACCACTTTTCTCATATTTCCCTTAATTTAATAATTGATTAATTAATCTATTTATTTATGTCTTGAGTCATAGTCTAACTCTGTCACCCAGGCTCTCTGCAACCTTGAACTCCTGGGCTTAAGTGATCCTCCTGCATCAGCCTCTTGAGTAGCTGGGACTGTGTGCATCACTATGGCCAGCCAATATTTTGACTTTTTGTAGAGACCAGGTCTCGCTATGTTGTCCAGGCTCATCTTGAACTCCTGAGCTCAAGCAATCCTCTAACCTTGGCTTCCCAAAGCACTGGGATTATAGGCATGACCCACTGCATCTGACTCCCTTAATTATGATTTTTAATGGAGATGAAGGGAAATTGTAATGGGCCAGTAGTACTAGAATATTTAACATGATTTGCTATTTTGTATTTTGAAATTGCTATGCATAGGTGAAAAACTATAGCAGTTATTTTTATTGATGCCAACCAAAAATGTGTAAATTATGCACATTATGAAAACTGTGTTTTAAAACAATGGCTGAATTGTGATGGTAAAGCTCTAAGTATCATCACTATCACTGTGAGATGAGATCTTGAACAATTTTTAATTATGTTTTAGATTATTAGAAACGGATAGTAAGTCCTTAAGGTCTGTAAATGGGTCCAGAAGGAACAGCGGCTCTTCTCTTATATCAAGTTCATCAGCCTCTAGCAACCTCAGCCACCTTGAAGAAGATTCTTGGATTCTTTGGGGAAGAATTGTTAATGAATGGGAAGATGTACGCAAAAAGAAGGAAAAGCAAGTTAAGGTATTCTTGTTTTTTTGTTGGAATTCTCTCTTTTATCCCAAAGTTTGCTTTTCAGGCATGGATTAATAGGGATTCGAAGAAAAACAAATTCTGGTAATTTCCAAGCTATATAGTAAGAGGTCTGCTTTATAGGTTTTCATTTATTTATACCCACAGACATTTTAATTTGTAAGTATCAGTTGGTTAGAGAAATCCTGATAATGTAGACATATAGTCCTGAAAATTATTTTAGAAATTAGTTTGATTCTCTCATTTTATGGATTGGGAAATGAAGTTGTGATATCCTGCATTCTTGAATTACAGTATTTTTACTTTTGTTTTTGCCTTCAGTAGCCCTTTGAAATGTGATGGATACTGTACCATCATTGACAGCTCTGCAGTTATCAAGTTCATTACCCTAGAGGCCACATGCTGAGTGAAGTGTCTAGAATTTATCCATGGCATTGTAGCCCCTTGACCAGAACAGGATACATCCAAGAGTTCAATCTTAGCCTACCTTGAAAATTTCTCTAGTCTTATTATAAAACTAACTTTCTGTTATAAATTTGATAAAGTCTTCTGCTTCATTCTAACCCCCAATAATCATCTTTGGCTCACAACACAGGAGATTTAAATAATCCATTAAATTTTTTTGTTTTTATTTTTAGGAACTTGTTCGTAAAGGGATACCTCACCACTTTAGAGCAATTGTTTGGCAACTTTTATGCAGTGCACAGAGTATGCCAATTAAGGATCAGTATTCAGAACTCCTGAAAATGACTTCACCTTGTGAAAAACTGATCCGAAGGGACATTGCTAGAACTTATCCTGAACACAATTTTTTTAAGGAAAAAGATAGCCTTGGACAGGAGGTTTTATTTAATGTAATGAAGGTAAGTTTTATTTGTTCATTTTTTGAAATGAATTCTCAGAAGTTTGAAATACATTTTTCACAACAAAGCATGGGTTTATGCCACAATAATCAGTTGACTTTGGCAGTAAAATTGGTTTTAGCATAACTTATGCCTTAATTTTGATGCTGCATTTCTATCTGGCGTGGAGAACTTGTTAGATAATTTATCACATTATTCAGCATTATTTGCTGGAATTATATGAAATAACCTATAAATCACATACCACAGAGAGATCCTCTATGAAAATGGATAACTTACCCTGTGAGGTTCAAAGCCTGGGATGCGGGTTTCTTCTATCATTGCTGCAAAATTTTCAGCAAATTTTTCTGCTTACTATGGCCAGCATTGGTAAGAACACTTAGCCCTCGAGAGGTGTACCACTGTAATTTTTATTTAATAGCCATTTCCCTTTCCATAGTTTCTTTTTCTTTCAGCTACTTCTGTGAAATACCGATTTCCTGTTAAATCATTTCAATTTTGCCAAACCTTTGCCTTAATCCTGCTCTGGTTTTGTCTATATCAGATACAAATTTTACTTGATTTTTTTGCAACAGGATCTCATTTTGTCACCCAGGCTGAAGTGCGGTGGCACAATTACCTCTCACCACAACCTTGACCACTTGGGCTCAGCCTCTCCAGTAGCTGGAACTACAGGTGCATGCCACCATGCCTGGCTAATGTTTTTCATTTTTTAAAAAAATCTTAAATTAAAAAAAATTTTTAATTTTTATATTACTGTCCCCTTCCGTTTTTCATTTTTTAATAGAGATGAGCTCTCACTATGTTGCTTGCCTAGGCTGGTTTCAAACTTCTGGGCTCAAGCAATTCTCCTTCCTTGGCCTCCCAAAGTGCTGGGATTACAGACATGAGCCACAGCACCTGGCCTAAATTTTACTTGATTTTTAAGCCTTATTACCTTCCTGGGAACAAATTCCTTTACTTTTTGTACTTAGCCAATTTGGACTTAGAAAAATGCCAAAAGAAAATTTTATGTAATAAAACATTTGCTTCTAAAATATTTATAGGGCCAGGTATGGTGGCTCATGCCTGCAGTCACTTTGGGAGCGGAGTTGAGAGAATTGCCTGAGCCCAGGAGTTTGAGACCAGCCTGGGCAACTGGTGAGACCTCACCTCTACAGTAGCAATCAGCCAGGTGTGGTGGTGTGTGCCTTTGGTTCCAGTTATTTGGAAGGCTGAGGCTGCCGTGGCCATGAACATGCTGCTGCACTATAGCCTGGGTGACAGAGTGAGACTCCAACTCAAAAGAAAAAAAGATTATCGGATAAATCTATAACAAGCAATCAAAAGCTAATCTGAAAAATAAGTGGTCTTTTAACCTGTCTCACCAGTTTTAGGTTTTTGGAGAAGGAAGATATATTTACTATGTATTTTGAACAATATTTTTACTTTTTAGGCATATTCTTTAGTGGATCGTGAAGTTGGTTACTGTCAAGGAAGTGCTTTTATAGTTGGATTATTGCTTATGCAGGTAAGTTAGTAGAAGCATTAAATGTCTAATTACATTCTTTATTAAAGTTGAATTCAAGAGTGTAAAAATCATCTTTGTTTTTATTAAATATAAGTAGATATTTTTCCCTAGGTACTTAATTTGAATAGAAATATTTAGTTTGTACTTTAAAAGATTAAGTGTTGAAATAACATCAGTAATATCTTGCCATCAAATGAAATTTTAACTTCTTGGTACATTTATTTTCCTTTTATTTATTTATTTTTTTAGTTTTCCTCTTTTCCCCCCTTATCTATTGAATGTATTCTAGGAGAAAAGCAAGGCATTTTCATGCCCTCTTCTTGGTCCCTTAGTTTCACTAGCTTTGGCAAAATCCCATTGTCTTCACATCATATTCCTCCTTACTTTAGGAGGCTAAGCAGATTCATCTGTAATCTACTTGTGTCTTTCTATTTTTATTTTATTGTATGTAATTTAAAAAAAATTTTAGAATCATGGGGAACATGTGAGTATTTGTTGTATTGGTGTATCCATGAAGACAAGGTTTGGGTTTCGACTCTCTCCCCGCCATGCACATTTGAAATATTCTACTAAACCTTGTATCTTTTTAAACCCTGGGAACATTTAATGAGGGCTAATCTTTTTTCCAACCAAAGAGGACATGATTAAAGTGTTGTTATGAAAATCTCATTTATGTTGTACAACATCTTTGGAAATTTATGAAGGAATTTAATTTGCCATGGAGCTAAAGACTTGTTATGTCTCTCTTGCTGTGTGTTCCACAGTAGTGATACTCAGTCACTTTTATCCCCACAAGGATATAGTGACTTATTTTGGAGTGGGTTTGGGTGGAGTGTTGTTAGAATTCAGGCATGGGCAGGACAATTATAACTTTGAAAGGAAATGATGTATAGTGCTATCTCTTTAGCTTTGTTGAAAAGAAACTTTTAAAAGGCCCATCTTACTCTTTATTTAGTCTCAGATTTTTATTCCTGAAATGGAACCGTGTGAATAACTTGATTTGAGTCATGTAGTCTGGTTTTTTTATTTCAGCTTTGCATTAGCTCTGTGAATTTAGGCTAGATTATTTAACCTCTCTCTTAGCAACAATTAGATAATACTATCTACTTTTCAGATTAATTGTGAGAGTTATACGAGGTAATACAATTTGTAATTGTTCAGTATTGGTAGGCCTTTCACTATTGAACTCAGACATCCTTATTATCAGTCTCGTGATTTTTGTCACAATTCTATTCCTTTTGTTTCTTGCTAGCTCGCAAATAACCTCTTGGCAGTCATTTCTGCTGGGCATCTGAAGAGCAGTTTTCCCCTACTTGATTCTGAATCTCACAACAGCTGACCTATTTATTCAGGAATCCTACAGTGTTTTCACTTTCCTCCAAGACAGGGCAAACAGTGAAACACACTTGAGTGAATATCATTACCACCAATGAAGTAATCAGTGCTATTTCAGTGATTAATTTACTTAGCTATTTTTGTCAGTGGCACTAATGTATCACCACACCAATAATCATTTATGGCCCAGGGACATAAGGTAGAAAGCTTCGCATAACTGGATTCAAAAGCTCCTCTTTATGTTTCCACAGTTTATGCTCTTATAACCTATATGCTATATTGTCTCCCAACACTTTAGTTTAGAAACTTTTAGAGACTCAGAGAGTCTCTTAAAATTTACAAAGCTAGTACATATTGTGTTAAAATGGTGAAACGTGCTGGTACATATTTTTTATGTTTTACTACTCCTATAAAATTTGTATATTGTTTGCGTTAGACCTTTGCAAAAGACACAGATTCTTACCAGCTCATTGTCACAGAGGAAGTATTTAGCAGCATGTTGCTCTAGGACTCAAGTGTTTTGCTTTTTTTTTTCCTAATGGAAAGGAATGACTATAAAACAACTGAGTGGGCTGGGCTCAGCGGCTCAGCCTATAATCCCAGCACTTTGGGAGGCCGAGGCAAGTGGATTGCCTGAGCCTGTGAGTTCAAGACCATCCCGGGCAACTTGGCGAGATCTCGTCTCTACAATTAAAAAAGAAAAAGCTGGGCATGGTAGTGCGTGCCTGTATTTCCTGCTACTTGGGAGGTTGAGGCGGAAGTGGCTGTGAGTGTGCTATTACACTCCAACCTGGGTGACAGAGTGAGTCTCCAACTAAAACAAAAACAAAAAACTGAGTGTAAGTGGTTCTTCATGTTTGTATATGCCACTCGGTGTTACATTTTTTCTTTTTTCTTTTTTTTTTGAGGTGAAGTCTCACTCCATCGCCCAGACTGGAGTGTAGTGGCCGCTCCTGGCCACCGCAGCCTCAACCTGCCGGGCTCCGGCGATCCTTCCGCCTCAGCCTTCCAAGTAGCTGGAACTACAGGCGTGCGCTACCACGCCCAGCTAATTTTTTGATTTATTGTAGAGATGAGGTCTCACCAGGTTGCCCAGGCGGGTCTCAAACCTGCAGGCTCAGGCAATCCACTCACCTCATCTTCCCAAAGGCGCGGGATTACAGGCTGAGCTACCGAGCCCGGCAATTTTTGTCATCATTGTTTCAATGTTTTTGAGAAGGATCCAGTGATAATATTTTTTCCGTCTCCTTTTACTTTTGCCAAATTACCTCAACTTGTTTTTAAAAACATATCTCTTTTTTTTCTTTGAGTTGGAGTCTCGCTCTGTCACCCAGACTGGAGTACAGTAGCATGTTCATGACTACCATAGTTCTGACCTGCTGGTCTCAGGCAATCCTCCTGCCTCATCCTTCCATGTAGCTGGAACTACAGGCACACGCCACCATGCCCAGCTAATTTTTAAAAAAATTTATTGTAAAGATGAGGTCTCCCAAGTTGCCCAGGCTGGTCTCAAACTCGCAGGCTCAGGCAGTCCTCTCACCTTGGCCTCCTGAAGTGCTGGGATTATAGGCATGAGCCAATGTACCTGGCTAAAAACATCTCTGTTTAAAAACAAAAAAACCAAAAACCTTCCAATTCCCATATCAATGCTATTACAAAGGGGAAAGGGAATGATGACACTTGTTTGATATCTCCAAAAGAGAAGAAATTTTGTAAGATAAAAAGGGAAATTATAATTATATACTGTGTGATGACATTTCAGTCAATGATAGACTGGTTGCATGTATGATGGTGGGCCCATAAGATTATAACACCATATTTTTACCTTACCTTTTCTGTGTTTAGATATTTTTAGGTACACAAATACTTGCTATTGTGTTACAGTTGCCTATGGTATTCGGGACATAGCATGCTGTACAAGTTTGTAGCGTAGGATAGTGATAGGCTGTAACATAGAGCCTAGGTGTGTAGTAGTCTTTTCCATCTAGGTTTGTGTAAGTACACTCCCTGATGTTTGCACAATGATGAAATCACCTGAGGACATAAAAAGGAAAGTGAAAATCTGTATCTACAGTAAAGGGAAAAGGTTTTAATACATATTATTAATATAAACATCCATAACAGGAGATAATTGATATTGCCAAAAAACAAAAAAAAGACTACCCAGGGACTTAAAATTTCCTGTAGTTTGTGATAAGAGTGCAGTGTTGATACGACTAGTTGGAAGGCCTCACTTGCCCTTCCAGTGCTGTGGGAGAGAAAACAACCAACTTAAGGGAGAGCCAGATTTCAGTGTTGAAATATTTTTGGGGAGAGTCAGATTTCATCTAAAAGAAGAGAGGAACATTTGGAAAAGAGAATAAGGCTCAGGTAGAATATTTTATTGATGGCAGGATATGGGTCCAGAAATTGCTGTGGAAAAGATTTAGGCAAGATTGGAAATGGAGTCAGATCAGAGGAACAGCAGAAACATAAGATGAGAGTTCTTGAATCTTGGGCTTCTTGTGGTGATTGACTTAAGTCAGTGGGGCTGTAAGTACTTGGTAGGATTAATAGGGATAGTCTCCAAGGCAAAATTGTGGCTATGTGTGTTGGGAGGAAGGAAGACATGTTTTGCCAAGAGTAACTCTTGGCTTCTGTCCAGGACTGTGTAAAGGCCGGGGGAAATGCATTGTTTTCAGTAAGAAGAATGCCTAGAGATCCTTAGGGGTGTTCTGTTTTGAAACATACTGGTAAAACAGGAGTGAATGAGAATTAGCAAAACATATTATTTTGAGAAAGATGGCTTTATTTTTTTTTTGAGATAGTTGTTTGGATAATGTTCTTTGCCTAAATATTCTGAATATCTCTGCAGGTCTTTATACAGCTTTCTCATTCATTATCTTATTTGATGTAATTTCCTATTTCAGATAATTTGAAAACTTATTTTACTTTTTTTTAACACTTATGTTATAGCACATCATTTTTGCTCAGAATCCTTGAAAAGCTCTTCCCATCTCACTTAAGGTGAAATTCAGAATTATTACAGTGGCCTCTAAAGCCCCATGTGTTTGGCTCCCTGTTTTTTTCTACTCTGTAATCTAACCGCCACTCCTGACATGACTTGTAATTTAACGTAGTCTCTTATTTGCTGACATACCATGAGTCCATCTTAGGGCCTCTGTACTCTGCTGTCCTCCAGGACTATTCTTGACTCAGATGTTTCCTTACTTTCTTCAGGATTCTGTTTAAATGTTACCTTATCAAAGAACCTTCCCTGACCTTTAATTAATTAATTAATTCATTGAGTCAGGTTCTCACTCTATTGTGCAGGCTGAAGTGCAGTGGCACGATCATGGCTCATCATAGCCTTAACATCCTGGGCTCAGGTGATCCTTTCGCCTCCTGAGTAGATGGGAGTAGGCCAGCTATTTATTTTTATTATTATTATTTTTTTATAGAGTCAAGGTCTTACTGTGCTGCTCATGCTGGTCCCAAATTCCTGGGCTCATGTGATCCTCTCGCCTCCCCCTTCCAAAATACTGCCGATTACAAGCATGAGCCACCACGCCTGGCCCTGACCTATATAAATAACAGTGTATCTCTTCAGCGTTCTCTGTTACCCTACTTTATTTCTATAGCATTGATGACCATAACATATTTATGTATTAGTTGATTTATTCTGTGAATTGTCTACCTCCCTCCATTAGAAAGTTCCAGATCCTTGAGAGTAGAGGTTGTGTTTCTTTTACTCACTGGTATATACCCAGGGAGATAAAAGTATCTGGTTCTAAATCAATATTTGTTAGTTGAATAAGTGAGTTAGGTACATTAAGGCAGTTGGTCTCAGGTTGTAAAATTTGTCTAACTTCTCAATTTTGGTGATTGGATGGAAGATTAGACCCTTCTCATTCTTAGCCCATTGCTCTTAACATTGCGGCACACAGCCATCCAAAACAGTGTTTATGGTTGGGTGGGTACTTGGTTTAAATATAATTTCAGTTATTTGTGTGTCACAGAACATTAACCTGTGTTGTTTTTTTCTTCTAATGTAGATGCCAGAAGAAGAAGCTTTTTGTGTATTTGTTAAACTAATGCAAGATTATAGACTTCGTGAGCTTTTTAAACCAAGTATGGCAGAATTGGGTCTTTGTATGTATCAGTTTGAATGCATGATACAGGTAAGAGTGCAGTGTTGGTGAAAAGTCGTATTGCCTTCATATATTTGTCATCTTGTTCTGAGTGACAACTAAACAAATGTAGTGTTTAAAGCATTAAAGCAATTGAAGAAATCAGTGTATTAATCACCTGATCATTTTTTGGTTGTTTAACACATAATTAGACTGACTTCCAGATTGGGTGCTATCTTTAGGTAGATCACAGCTGGAGCTTGACTGCAGTTTTCATATTCAAACCTTCATCATTAGTGCCAAATGTACCATAAATCTATTACCTAAGGGCATGAGTTTCCTCATCATGTCCTATTATATCCTGTTATAGTTATGTAGTCTAAACTGTCTTTGCAGCTTTATGACATTGACATCAGTCCATTAACTTTGAGACTGTCTCTTTAGACCTCTCCCTGGCCTTTCCCTCTTTTTTTTGAGTTGGAGTCTCATGCTGTCGCCCAGACTGGAGTGCAGTGGCCACTCCCAGCCACCGCAGCCTTGACCTGCTGGGCTCTGGCCATCCTTCCGCCTCGGCCTTCCGAGTAGCCGGAATTACAGGCGCGCGCTACCATGCCGGCTGATTTTTTGATTTATTGTAGAGATGAGGTCTCGCTGCCCAGGCGGGTCTCGAACCCGTGGGCTCAGGCAATCCACTCACCTCAGCCTCCCAAAGGCACGAGATTACAGGCTGAACTACCGAGCCCAGCTGCCTTTCCCTCTTTATCTTACTTTTTTGCTAGCCTGCAGTCTTTTTTCTCCCCCATAATGTTTTCATCATTTTATGCTGCTGGTTGAAGACTCCCATTCTGTAGTGAATGTTTGAGGGAAGAGAAAACAGGAGTAGAATCAAGATCAATGGAAAATATCTTTGAAATATTTTACCTCTATGGATTGAAGTTTTATGTTTTATATATATAAGTACACTTGCTATGTTGTCCTATAATATAATGATGTAAATATTTTCATTTACTTAAATGAAATTAAATGAACAAAATTTATGGAAATAGGCTACTGATTTGGCTGGTATGATTTTTATCAGTCTCCTTTCCCCTGACAGCCTTAGCCACTGGGTTTATAAAATCCTGTGTTTTCTGTGTGGTAGGAGGAAGGGTATATATAAAATGTTCGTTCTTTCTCTTTCTTTCTTTCTTTCCTTCTTTCTTTCTTCCTTTCTTTCTTTCTTCTTGCTTTCTTACTAATTTATTTATTGGGTTGGGACTCAATCTGTTGCCCAGGCTCGGACTACAGGAACACACCACAACGCCTGCCTAATTTTTAAAATTTTATTTACTTTTATTTTTTAGTTCTTGCTGTATTTCCCAGGCAAGTCTTGAACTCCTGGGCTCAAGCAATCCTCTTACCTCAGTCTCCCAAAGTGACATGAGTCACTGCACCTGGCCTTATTTTTATTTTTTTAAGAATTGGCATACATATTTATGGGGTACATAGTGATTTTTTGTTTTGTTTTGTTTTTACATGTTAAAGAAAAGACCAGAGTAGATCTTAAGATGATTCTTAATTCAATTTTTTTCTGAAATAATAAACTTGTTTTTATCAACCTTAAACTCTGTTGTTATTTTTTTAATTAATGTGTCATTATGAATTACCAGAATTGCTAGTGCATCTGTATATTGGGTTTTTTCCTATTACTTTAGAAGGTAAGAATAGATGATCAATGGTAGATAATTTCTCAGAATATTTTAGCATAGCATTTTTTTCTCTTTAAAAGCTTTTTGGAATGTTATAGTTGATAGAAAATGTCAGACACCCATGTACCTACCAACAAGATTAAACAAGTCTAAAAGTTTCATTTGTTTCAGTTTTGCTTTAATGATAAATTAAATATTATAGATGTAGTCAAAGTTCCAACTCCACATTTTTTTCTTCTTTCCTTTCTAGATAATAGCCATTGTCCTGAAAGTATCAATTTTTACATCTTAGCTTTTCCATATAATGCTTAATCTTTTTTTTTCCTTATTTAAACATTTAAAAATTTTTATTTTTTTTTAGTAGAAACGGAGGTCTCACTATGTTGCTTAGGCTGATCTTGAACTCCTGGGCTCAGGCAGTCCGCCTGTCTCATCTCAACCTCTCAAAGTGCTGGGATTACTCCTTTTTTTTTTTTTTTGAGTTGCTGGTCTCATTCTGTTTCCCAGGCTGGAGTGCAGTGTCACAATTGTGGCTCACTGCAGCCTCAGCCCCCTGGGCTTAGGCAGTCCTTTCGCCTCAGTCTCCCAAGTAGCTGGGACTACACGTGCATGCTGGCACACCTGGCTTATTTTTCTATTTTTTGTATAGATAAAGTCTCACTATGTTGCCCAGGCTGGTCTTGAACTCCCAGCCTCAAGTGATCCTCCTCCCAACACTTTGGCTTCTCAAAGTGTTGGGATTACAGGTATGAACCACCACGCCCAGCCTGATGCTTGATCTTATCTTTGTGTTTGGTATAGGCTAACCTTCTACATATGCAATGGTCTAATTTAAAATGCTACATTTTACTGTTTTAACAAATTCTTTTCTTCTTTTTAGGAGCATCTTCCAGAGCTCTTTGTACATTTTCAATCTCAGAGTTTCCATACCTCAATGTATGCATCATCCTGGTTTCTGACTATCTTTCTTACAACTTTTCCGTTACCAATCGCAACAAGGATATTTGATATCTTTATGTCTGAGGTAAGCTAATAGGCAGACGAGGAACAAGAGCTAAGCATAGGGGTCATTGAGTTAATGAGAGCAAGGCAGTGAGGAGAGCAATATGAAGGACCTGTGTGTCCTGTGCTAAATTGCTCAAGTGGGCGATCTCACTGCTTACATAGATAATTTCATTTAAACCTTACAGTAACACTATCAGGTAGATACTATTATCATTCCCATTTGTTAGATGACAGATGAGGAGACCGAGACTTAGAGAGATTAAGTAGCTTGTCTGCAGACACACAGCACTTAAGTAGTGTAGTAATCAGAATTCAAACACAAGTAGTCAAATTCTAGAGCCTGCACTCTTAATCATACCTCTTTATCACCCCCTGACTGAGAGAGTAAGAACTAGTGGGAAGTAAAATTTGCCTCACAGTTAATAATCCTATAGTGCCTCTGCTCTCCAAAGAGTAAGAAGTAATTAATATAATTTTCTTCTATTCTGTGACCATGGAGATTGTTGTCCTTTTAATTGTCAGTGATGTGTGGTAGTGATCTTTTGTCTTCTATTTTCTATTAATTACATCTTAGGAAGATCAATTTGAATTACCTTTTTAAAATTAGTTTAGATCAGAATTGGCAAACTATGATTCATGTACCAGTCCATTCTGGTTTGTGTGCCAACTCTGGCCTTCCACCTGTTTTTATAAATAGTTTTCTTGGAACACAGCCCTGGCCATTTGTTTATATGTTGTCTATGTCTGCTTTGGGGCTACTGTGGCACTGTTGGGCAATTGTGACATAGACCACGTTGCCCACCAAACTGAAATTACTTGCTGTTTCACTCTTTACAGAAAATTTTTGCCAGCCTCGCAAATTACATCCCTAAATATTTATCTTAGTATTATTTTGAATGATTAGCTTTTGTTGATAGAAGAATAAGGCACATTTAGCTTTATTTAATTTGTTTCCTCAGGGTTTAGAAATAGTGTTTCGGGTAGGATTAGCACTTCTTCAAATGAATCAGGCAGAACTGATGCAACTTGACATGGAAGGGATGTTACAGGTAAGTCAGTTCATGATTTCTTGAATGTCTTTGGATTTCACTATTAACTAGTTAATAATAAATGGCACTAAGTAGTTCTTATGTTTTTCTTTAATTGTATCTTAGCACTTTCAGAAGGTCATTCCACATCAGTTTGATTGTGGTCCAGACAAATTAATTCAAGCAGCCTATCAAGTCAAATACAACTCAAAAAAGATGAAAAAGTAAGTATTTTATATTTTTGTTTTTAGTTTTGGAGTTGTTTTTGAAGCATATCAGAAATTCAGTGAAAGAGGCAAAACATTCTAGTAATAAGTAAAGTTTTCCTTCTTAATTTATAGAACTGTATTATTTTATTTGGTGGTATTGGTTTCAGTATAACACAAAGCTAATGTTGGGATGTACTACTTTTTTTTTTTGAGTTGGAATCTTACTCTCTCAGACTGGAGTGCAGTGACATGCTCATGGCTGCTGCAGCCTTGACTGGTGGGCTCAGGTGACCCTTCTGCTTCAGCCTTCGAAGCAGCTGGAGCTACAGGGACGTGCCACCATGCCAGCTAATTTTTTGATTTATTGTAGAGATGAGGTCTTGTCAAGTTGCCTAGGTTGGCCTTGAACCTGTGAGCTCAGGCAATCCTCTCACCTAGGCTTCCCAAAGTGCTGGGATTACAGGCTGAGCTACCTAGCCTGACCTGGTATGTACTACTTTTAATAGTAGTGCCTTAGACTAGTGTGTACTACCTTTAAAACTTCCCTTTCCCTTTCTGCACTGACTGGTATTTGGGGCCTGGTATGAGGGTGCATATATGTATATATATGTATCTGTATATATGTGTATATATACTATGTGTGTGTATATATATTTATGTGTGTACACACAAACACACACACACAAGCTATGTGTTTTTATTTTAAAAACCACTTTTGTGATGTGGTCCCATTTGTTGCCATTCTTTTCCTCTTAGTTTGTTCCCAGAGTGTCACTCAGGTTCAAGATCAGCATAATGAGCAAGATAAACCGGAGGAATGGATTGAGAACTTAACATTTTATTTATTGTGTATTACTTTCAAATGAAGCTTTTTTTAGTATGTATTTCATAAAGTTCAAGATAAACAGTCTTGGCTCGTTAGTTCGTTTTTTTTAAAAATAGACTAAGTATATTGATTAAAACAATAGCTGTTATTCTTCTAGCTTTTGGTACTTAATTATTAGCCTGAGATTGTAGTTAGCATTTCTGACACTGTAGTTTCTTTGGTTTAAAATGATAACAATACTGTCAACTAGCAGTTACCAATATCTTTTCTGAAGTAACATGAAATTATATTAACATGTACAACGCACTGCTGTCATGGAGATTCCTACTCCAAAACGTATATTTATATATGAGTGAGAATCATTAAGATTAGTTAGCTCTGCTGGATGCAATGGTATGTGCCTGTCATCCTAGCTACTGAGGCAGGAGGATCACTTGAGTGCTGGAGTTTGAGACTAGCCTGGGCGACATAGCAATACCTTGTCTCTTAAAAAAAATAAAAATTACTTGGCTCTAATTGACAAAATCAAGCCAGTTCATGAACTTCAACTTTTATTATTAATAAATTACTTGTTACATTTCTAATAGCCACCGTCATGTTGAGACATTATAGACCAAAAAGCTGCTCTGCTTTGTAACTGATAAAAAGGAGTCATCTTAATATTTGCCACTTGGCAAAACCACATTTAAATCACACTAGCCACTGCATGTGGAATTTGTAGCAAACAACAACCATAAAATAAATCACGCTAGCCAAACAGAGAATTTATTTTACAGGCTTGAGCCCCCCC